CGGTGCTGTCCTACATTAAATTCTGTGAAGAGGTTAGAAACTGAACTGTGGATACTGTAGCTCTTAAGCATCACACACTCAGAAAAATAGGTTTGGGATTTGTGAAATGAGTTTGCCTAATCTTTCTCCTGTACGAGAATCCAATTTAGTTAACTTCTTTTCTGTAAATGAAATATGAAAACTACACTATCTGAAATAACAATAAACAAAGAGATATCATGGAAATGCTAACATCTTAAGGCCAAGGAACATAGGGCATGGTTGTATTAGTTCAGTGAAAGACTGGAGACATCTAGCAGTCACAATATATGAAGAACACGTCATGTTCACAAAAAGTGTTTTTGGTAGTTCAGGTGTGCCGTTATTCTTACTGTAAAATTGTACTGCATTACTCTCGCTTCACTGAAGTGATGTGACAACACTAAGGTTGTTTAACACCACTGAACACAATTATCATTCCAGTAACACTGACAAAAGCATGTAACTCCGCAGGCTCTTACCACTGGCAGCATCCCTGGCTTCATTGACGTCGTAATGAACCTAAATTCTCCTGCGCTGCTGGAAGACAACCTCATTTGGCAGGCAAAGACGGCAGGGAAGAGAATGGTGTTCTACGGAGATGATACCTGGGTGCGCCTCTTTCCCAAACACTTCATGGAGTATGATGGCACAACGTCCTTCTTTGTTTCTGATTACACTGAGGTATGTGTGAATCACACGCTGCGATTATAAAAGATAGAAGTGATGTACCTGTGTTTTTCTGCTGATCAATAATGAACTGTAGCCAGCACCTGATGGCTGATATGGTACTTACCTTGAAAATTATACATGAAGAATTATAAAACAAAATCATGTAACCTTATTGTCTGTACGAGCTTAAAGGTTGAACCTTTAACAAAAACATATAGTGTGGTTTAACATTAAAATGGATTTATTTGGGGCGCTGAGTTTAGCTGAGTCAGTAGAACAGGCAGCCCGTGTGCAGAGGCTAGAGTCCTCGTCGCACTGGTCGCAGGTTCAACTCCCGGTCCTGAGGCTATTTGGTGCATGTCATCCCCTGCTTTCTCTCCCCATACTTCCTGTCTCATGTTGAACAGCCATCTGCTGAAACTGTGTTGGGCTTTGAAAGAGGGATAGAGGGAGATGCAGAAAGAAAGAGACGGCTCGGGCCAAACAGAGATAGATGATAGATTTATAGCTACAATGTCAGCAATAATGGCAAAGGTCATGTGTTGTGTTAGAAGTAACAACTTAGTATGTTAACAGACTGATCAGTCTAATATTGACATTAGCATCTGTAATGATGATGATGAAGCAGGGAGGACTGATTATGTTAATAAAACAGGTTGAAGTTGAGCAGTTCTAAAATTCACTTTCATATTTATCATTAAAAAAAAAAAGGGGGACGGCAGTAGCTTAGTCTGCAGAGACTTGGGTCGGGAACTATAGAGGGTCACCGGCTCAAGTCTCTGTGTGGACCAAGCCTGGAAATTGGTCTGGAAGCTGGAGAGGTTCACTTCCTGAGCAGCACTGCCGAGGTGCCCTTGAGCAAGGCACGATCCTGTTTGTGCATGTGTGTGTGTGTGTGTGTGTGTGTATTTCAGCCTTAGTGTGTGTAGCATGTTCAATAACAGAGTGTAAAACTGAATTTCCCCTCATATATCTTCTTCTTCTATAATGATAACAGATGTGAGGCTGAGGGAAATAGATCAACTCACTATTTATTTCCTATAGGGGCCCAAATTTGAATTTTTTTGACAATGGATGCTATCGGTTGACATACTCTATATTAATCAACATATATCTTTTATGTGTAATGTCTCCTCGCAGGTTGACAACAATGTGACCCGTCACTTGGATGGCACCCTTAAAAGAGATGACTGGGACATTTTGATCCTTCACTACCTAGGCCTTGACCACATCGGTCATATCAGCGGACCCCACAGTTCCCTCATCCAGCCTAAACTGCTCGAGATGGATGACATCCTCGAGAAGATTCACAGCGCTCTCATTTCAAAGGTGCCTTTTGTTCTCTTAATCTTTCCGTGGGTACCATTTTGCATCCACATGTTTTTGGTTGAGATTTTCAGACTTCATTTTCTTTTTTTGCCAACTTGAGTCAGCAGAGGTGATTGATGAAGAATGAACATTTATTCAAATAGCAGAACAATGCTAGTTACAGTTATGTGATGACCTAGCCTGTTCAGATAAAGCAGGGTCATATTTTATAACATCCTTACCCTCAGTCATGCAAACAGTTTAGGGGTTTTCTCTCCATGACCTGTAGATCTCCAGAAACCTGAGACGTGCACTTAAGATTGTGTCGACCTTAAGTGCTTTTCCACCCTAGGTCACACCTACACATTCACACACTGATGGAAGAGGTTTCTATTTTAAGTGTCCATTAGAAGTAACTAATCCCATCACACACATTCATACGCCACAAACGAAGCAGAGGGAGCAACTTGGTGTTAAGTGTCTTGCCCAAGAACACAGCGGACATGTAGCTGCAGGAGCTGGGGATCGAATCCCCCAACCTTCCTGCTGAGAGACGACCGACTATACCAACTGAGCCACAGCCGCCCCACAATGATGAGCTCTGTCTCGTTAGTTTTTCTTTCTTCGTTATCTACTTCTTTGTTCTTTGTTTTTGCATCATAACACCAAGACGTATCTCTCGTATGTGTAAACCTACTTGGCAATTGACCTGATTTGGATTCTGATTGAACGGTGTTGTGGATTGTTGAGGCAAAGAAAACAAGAGTCTTGACTGGAGTGCTCGGAAGTTCAAACAAAGTGTGGTTAATGTGCTCTTTGGTGGGACACACAAAAATTCAAAAAGAAGAAGAAAAAAAAAAGGAATGAATGAAAGCAAAAAAAGACGTTATTAAAACTATTCCATCATTCTTCTATGAATTGTTTTCAGAGCACTGAGGCTGGGGGAAGTTTGTGCCTTTGTCTTGTTATCATTGTAGTTGTGCTTTTAAACCAGCACCCTATGCCACAAGTCTTAGAGACTCCATGTTGAATTCATTTTCATTTTCTGGATCCTGTGAGCCTAGTGTAAAAAACGAATCTCAGAGAAAAGATACCAAAGGAGTTGCAGTGAAACCGTGACGGGAAGTGATGTCATAGTTCCTTTTTAAAGTCATAAATGTATTTTTCGCCTTTTTGGTGTGAAGAATGAATCATTCACTCAGAGCTTCAGGGTGATAAGCACATAGGGGGAGTCCATTAACCTGATGTTTGCTTCTCTCAGGAGGCAGACGGATCCCTGCCCTACCTGCTGGTGCTGTGTGGAGACCATGGCATGTCTGAGACCGGCAGCCACGGAGGCTCTTCAGAGCCAGAAGTCAATACGCCCCTTGTGCTCATAAGTCCAGCCTTCAAAAGAAAAGGTACGATGATTAGAGTTGAGGATTTGATTGAAGGTTTTCTCTTTGTTGGACGGAAGTGAACACACGCAGTTATAACGTATGACCATGATCTAGTTAATCAGTGAGTACAGTATGCTATTCTTCTTTTCTCTAGTCCCTCAATTAAACAACTTTTATACGTGAGGGGATGAGTCAGCCGCCCCAGCAATGTAAACAAACTGAAGATAGGACTCTGAAAACTCTGAAAACATCACAGACAGTGGGACTCGGGTGTTACACCCATTGTAGACAGTCATTACTTAGAGTTATTTTCAGAGGATATACTTGATTTATATTACATTTAAGTGTGAAATTGCATATTAAGCCTTTAAGACAGTCTATGTTATTGAAACTTTTTCTATTTAACTGAGTTGCTGCTAGTGAATTCTTGGTTTCGCCAACATTGTGGACCTGCTGTATTCAGTTTCAGGAGTTTAGCACCTTTACTCACTAGCATCAGTACTACACCTCAAACCATAGCTTTAACACTTATTAGTCAGGTAATGTTCAGTGACACATTCAAATGAGCCGTATGTTCTTAGTAGATTTATGGAATTATATTAAGTTATTATGGGCATCAAAAGCAAAATCTTGCTAGAAATCTGTGTCCTTGTTATGATATTTCTAACTCTCTTGCTTTTGTCACAGAATAAGCTTAGGAGAGTTGTGCCAGTCAGAAGAATGCAGTTGTCTTACTTTCTCAGATTTGTGAGAACTATTTTACATTTTAAAAATAAACAGACGATTTGGCTATAAAAGGGTTTTAAAGTTTCTCAAACGGCCACTTTGACAGACATTTTGGAGAATAACTCCCACTGTTTGAATTCTAGGGAAAGTGAAAATAGCATATTTGGCATCGTCATTGAGTTATACATGTATTCATCTTCGGTTAATGTTTGAGTTGTTTTTCTCTTGACGATCAAACCCTCAAGCTTGAATACAAGAGTAGGAAACAAAGCAGTTTGAAATGCTTTTGACACTTAATTCACGTTTTCTACTTCAGAATTAAGATTAAACATTGGCCTGATTTTAATCTATGAATAAAATGTCACTAATGCAGTTCAATCAAGCCGAGTATGGAGAAAGGTTCTTCATGTTTCAGCACACTCCCTGTTCATTGTTTGGCTGTGATGAAGGGATTAAGAAAGCAGTGGCAGTGAGATACTAGCTAATGGGATTGCAAGTGGTGAATTATTTTAAGCAGCAGCAGCAGCATTAGATCAGTCTGCAGGGACTTTGGTTGGGAACTGGGGGGACACTGGTTCAAGTCCGGTGAGACCAAGTCTGTTTGTGTTAGATGACTTTAGGAGAAGTAGCAACTTTATCCAATGTATCTTGATGAGTATACTGGAAGTATTTCTTTAGATTCTTATCGTATAAGCAGAGGAATCTCACAGCATCCAACGTTCCAACAACAGAATTTATTACTATGTATTAGTGTGCCATTATTCCCCGTCTGTGTATTACAGATAGATATTTATTGCTTGGCTCGTGTGTTTTTGCCCTGTGGTACCAGGTGGAATGGAGACGCCTGGAGTGGTGGAGCAGGTGGACCTGACGGCGACCCTTGCCCTTGGACTCGGCCTTCCCATATCTCAAAACAACGTGGGTCACGTCATCCCTGGTGTTTTTGAGGAAACCACCCTACGTGACCAGCTACGCTTCCTGCATCTCAATGGTCACCAGCTCAGCTGCCTGCTCAAAGATAGCATGTCAGGCTATGACAAAGGTTGGTTCTTATTAATTCACTTTGTTCAACGTTGGATCATATTTGGGAATGTTGGGATGCTATCCAGGTCATTGTGATGGCGAGACTGTGATATCAGTTTCTGTAACACAGCTTCTTCTCACGACTCAGTCTGGAACAGCAAGTCGTCATAATACAACCTCACTGTTATCCACATCTATTAAGAAACAAGACTCATTATAAGACCCTTATGGTTATGGGTTAAGCCATTGACCTATTTTCAGTTTAATCTAACCGCCCATTCACGCTGGAATATAGCACACTTCAACAACCATTTCTTATGTTAACTTGGTATGCCTTGGGTTTTTCTGTTGTTGTTTATTTATGCGCTTTATGTCCTTGAGGACCGACCTGACAAAGCTTACTTATTTACCCTTCACAAATCTGCATCATGCTGTTCTTATTTCGGCAAACTTAACTCCCATTCATCGCAAGTAAATCACAAGAAAAGCAGTTTCTTTTTTGTTTGGTTCATACTGCTGAAGTGGGCCAGAGTGAAGCCGCTGTAAAACTGATGTAGCATGTCATGTCTCTCTATGGAGACATGACATGCTACCTCATCTAACATGGCACACATTTGAAGGAGATGTGTGCGCTACAGGAAGCTCAGGTTGGAATAGTCCATTAAACATAAAATGTCTACATTTATTTCGATAGGCTCTGCTAACGTTTATTTTTTCTATCTTTAATAAAAAAAGAATTAAAAGGAGAAGTAGGCAGGTGCTTGGTATATCAATCCCCCTTTGCCTTGGCAGTCAGGGCCTATAGCAGCATAACTATAGATCCAGCCCTCACTATGAGCTTCACCAAACACAAACATTTTAAGTCTACTCTTACAAACAGAAGGGTGTCTGCCTCCTGGGCCTAAAATGATAGATTGTCTAAGGGTGGGGAGCATTGTATTACAATGCTCTGCCTCCCGTACTAGCTTTGATGACTCCAGGTAGGCCTGAATTCTGCAGTGCTAAGTTCTAGAGAAAGGGTGGAAACTATGAACATATGCTGCTTGACTAATTCTAATGCATTTGTCTAGTTCTTGTCAGTTTCTATATTATGAGTCCGCTGTAACGTAGCCGTGCTGTCATTATGCCTTTGTACTTTAACATTGAACCTACAACAGCGTGATACTTGTAGCCTAGTGTGATTTTACAAGGTGCAACAAGAGATAAATGTCCCACCTTGAACTGGTAATGTATAAAATAAATTTATGAATTACACTCAATACAGATATTGGGTGACGTGATTGTTTCTTTAGTTCCAGGTGTTGCATATTTTCTGTTTTATCTGAAGTGCCACTAAAGAATCTACAAAGCAAAGGCCTGTTTAAATTCCTTTTTGACTAATTTGTTAATCCATCACTGTCCGCCTTGTTCCAATCTCTATATTGTGTTTTTCTCGTGGTTCCAGCCTCAGGCGTCTTGAAGGGCCATTAAGCACTTTCTACACTTCAGACAGATGAAACATGCCTGGGCCATTGATATTGTGGATTCATTGCTGTAGCTCAAGGTTCTAATATTTCTACCAGCCTCTCTGTCTTGAACAGCCAAAGTAACTATTTATCACCTCTATGCCGCTGCCACTGGGAGAGGTGCTGCACTGCAGTGTGTGTGTGTGTGTGTGTGTGTGTGTGTGTGTGTGTGTGTGTGTTGTGTGTGTGTGTGTTGTGTGTGTGTGTGTGTGTGTGTGTGTGTGTGTGTGTGTGTGCGTGCGTGTCAGCTTTCCACTTCACTGATATCAAACCACAATGCCCTTGAAGAAGCACCTAATGCACTGTAGTCAAGTGAATACAGGCATTATTTCATCTTCTTTAAGTAAACGTGAATGACTCAGATTGATCACTAACATGAATGTGAAAAATTGCCCTTTTTTGGGACTAAATGTCTTCGACTATAGACATATTATCATTTGAAACTTAAGAAAGTGTCAAGATAAGAAACAGTCACCAGCTCCAAATCGATCCCGCTGTGGCTTAGCATTCAATTACTTTTGTCAAGTTGTTCTCGTGGCAGTTCTTTGATATTTAAAACATATTACTGGCATCAATTGAGGAAAATGCTCTCCAGCAATCCTTCATCAATCGCATTCATTTTGTGGGTAGTGCATAAGTACAGCTTGAAGATACGTCATTGGAAGGCTAAGGTTGTTTCTAAATAAGTTTGTCTTGATTTTGAAATGGTATTTGATGATTAAGAGTACCACATTAATGACGCCTCATCAGAAAACAAAAAAACAAGTTGCTAATGAGATAGTGAACACGTTCCTGTTTTGACAAATGTATTGTATGTCATAGCAGCTGCAGTTCCAACAGGAAGTTTAAGTAAATGTCACAGTAATGGAAAGCCTTGAAATACCTAAAAACCGACCTTATACCTGTGTCATCCCTTCCCATCTCTCTCTGATCCAGAGGCGGCTTTGAGCAGTTCCGTGTGGCAGAAAAGGCTCATGGGAACTGGATGAAGCTTTACCTGGAGGGCAACAACTCTGAAGTGCTGTCCAACATAGGAAAGAAGGTCTTAAAGCAGTATCTGGAGGCCCTTGCAGCCATGAGCTCAGCCCTCAGCAAACAGCTGGGCAAGTACGACATGTACTCCATGATCGCAGGCATGGTGTTTGTGTTTCAGGTGAGCACGTGTCATTTCATTCATCCTGACCACTCTTAAGATTGAAAGATTGAAGGAATGTTAGGTCTGTGGTTTTTTTTTTTTATCCTCAGACTGAACTCAAGTGACAAATGTCGTTTTTACTGTCATGAAGAGGCAACTTCTATTTTGAAAGCTTTTATTTTTGTTGGAGGAAATCCTTAAGATTGTAATTGCCACACATGCGTTTAAGCATCTAAGGAACTGTTCTGTGTTACAGTAATAGTGTGTGTGTGAGAATGTTTTACGGTAGATGATCCCACGGTTCTTAAAAATTATGAATTATTAATTACGGTAATTGTTTTTCTCTCCTTCTGTCTCTCTTTTCTCCTGGCTCTTAAGCTCCTGTTAGTCTTACTGCTGGCTATGCCGGAAGCTCTCAGTGGTGAAGCAGCAGTTGACGTCCCCGTCCTCTCGTCCCTGCTCTCTCTGCCTTTCTACCTCTTGTGCCTGCTACTCGCCTCAGTACACGTCTTAGTGTGCACATCCACTGAGAGCTCCTGTTACTTCTGCAGCCTCTCCTGGGGTCTAGTGTTTGCTGCTGTTGCCTTCTCCTCAGCAATGTTTTGTACTCTGGTCTCTATGGCAACAAGGCATCTTACCCCAGGAACAAACATTAACAGGAAGGTGAGTCTGTGCGCTGTTGACTTTCTTCATGAGGAGTTTCGATTTTTTTTCACCTACATTTCTGTTTACGTTAATGATGCAGCAACGATCACAACAAATGTGCTACTGAACAACTTTGATCAACCAGCTGCAATTACAAGTTTTTAAAATAGCTGCATTAGAAGGTACACATTAGTGTAAATAGAAGTTATGGCACCGCAATCAATGCTAATCTGAAAGAACGAATTACATGATAACATGTTGCATGATTTAACAACTTGTGCACACAAGTTATTATCTTGTGCAACATAATAAATAATATATAATAATAAAAAAAGACTTATCTTCACAAGATAATATTTTTAACTTTTTTAGACTTCAGGGACTCTGTAAACATCCCCTCATGAACTGCATCAACTAAGGGTGCACTTACACTAGTGAAGTTGTGTGAGTGCACTCTAAATCTGTGCTTTTTTCGTCTCAGTGGATTTTTTTTTTTTTTTAAATAAAGCCTCAGAGCTTACATGACAGGATGTCTCTTAACAATGTTTCATATTATAGAATGTGCTAGTAGAGTTTGATAAATGAGACTGATTTGGTCGGATTCAAACCTGGGCTGTCCGCTTTGAGGACTGCAACATCTGCACATGGTGCACGTGAACAAACCAGAATTTTCATATTCTAGAACACAAGTACCAGAATGAATTATTTCTGTCATTAAGCAGGCGTACGTGTTAAAGCTGACTACTTCTATTAGCTTTAGTTTTGTTGGGGAAACAATTATGAAGTAGCCCAGACCTGCTGAAGAAAAAAAAAATATGCCTTTATGTATGTGAGTGGATAAAATCAGTTTATGGAAGCATCCATGGGTGAACGAGAACAACATTTGAATGACAGCTCAAGGTTGCTGTCTGCTGCTCTTACACAGAAAATATCCTTCACTACAATATGGTGACTAACAGCAGTCGTGACTCGTGATAGAGTAGAGACCTGGCAGAGATAACCGAGAACTATAGGTGGCTGCAAATTTAACAGTCTTAATTGTGAAGTGCGTAGGTCAAGTGAGTGTGACTAGATAAGGTCATCTCAGCGACCGCTTTAACCAAATACTCCACTGAGGGGAACAGTTCTAGCTGCCCATGTAATACAAAGGGTGTGGGTGAGGTTTAAAGAGGTTGTGTGTCTAGTCAGGCTTGTCTAGTTATGGTAGTAACATCTCTTGGGTCAATTATAAAAAGGTACCAAGTTTCAGTGGTCTTAAGTTCAATGCATTCAGTCACTCAGCAGTCATGCTCCAAAGGTTCGTCATTCTTTAAGCCCTTATTATTATTTGACTTTGACTAAAGTCATAATAATCATCTGCAGATCCCACATCTGGAACCTTACCAAACTTTCTCAAGTAACCACATAACGTGCATTTTCTACTAGTTGATGTCCATGTAAAGGCTCCTTGTTTTGAGTGTGTACTTAATGCAGTTTTCATCCTTCTTATAGTTGCCCTTCAGGAGCAAAGACTGGTCACTGTCAGAACTCGATGCTTTACTGCTGGCCGGCACAGTCGGACACACCCTTAGTCTGGCGGCCAGCAGCTTCGTGGAAGAGGAGCACCAAACCTGGTACTTTCTGCTCAACACCCTCTGCCTCGCAGTCTTCCAGGATGTCTGCCGCAAATACTTCAGAGAGCAGAGAGACACTTCGGACGAAGACGAGCATATCCTCCTTTCCAAAGATTGTCACTCATCTGTTCACCAAAAAGCAGACATTTGCTCAGAGAAATGGCTAGCATTAGCCACGCCCCCTTTCACTCTGATCTGCTGCAGACTGCTGCGCTCCCTCAACCAGACTGGAGTACAGTGGGCTCATCTTCCTGACATGGGACATTGGCTAAACAGGTTTGGTTTTCCAGTACCCTCAGTTATTTTATGTAAATAGTGTAGCAGCACCCAGATATATGTTCTTTGCAGTAAACTAAGCATGGAGGATCCCCTGAACATCTAACAACAGAGGTCGACTGTTCTACTGTCTTCGACTCCAGAAATGCATATTTTAGTCATTTGTTTGGGTTAATCATGGTTTAGTTTGATTTATTTATGTTGGTTTTAGTCTGTTTAAACTCGGTTTGGGGTTTTGGAGTTTTTATTTACATGGCACCTAACAACAATACCTCTATAGTCCACTCAAACTCTTTTGAGCCCATGTCGTGAGTGGGTGACAATGTCATATGTAATGGCATTTGTGAGCAGCTAACCAGTTCCTTGCCAGTTTAGATGGCGGCATACACAAGACAACTAAATAATTCCCTGACATAAATGTAATGACAGATATGTATAAAAGTCCTTCTCTTTCCTTGTACTAAAATCTAGCTCTGTTTTTCTGGCAAAGAGGCAGATAGTGTAAAATAGCTTCTTGGACAGCTCATACTGTAGCGAACCGTTAGTTAGTTCCCCAGTAAATCTGTGGCTGTTTCAGAGCCATAAATATTTGTAACAGCAGAGGGTAGGGTATTTTAATGTGTTCTTTAGGTACATCACACGGTGGAAAAGAGAGCTGGATTTTGGCATCTTCCCTGTCCACTGGTTCCCTTTCTTTCTCTTTCTCCCTGCTCTGCCTGGTACTTGGATAATGAGATCTAGGATGTGATGTGCCTCATGTTGTCCTAGAGTACCCAGCAAACAATGCTGTCTGGTCCAGCTTACAGCTAAAGTGCTTCTTTTCAACTTTGATGTGTCTTCTGAAGTCATATTTTACATGTTCTCAGCTTGGTGCAATAGGGAACTTGATAGACTTAAATTCAGGGACTTCAGAACATCTGTGTCTTTATTACATTTTGAATCACAGATTGACAATATGACTGGCAGTGTGGCATCTCATCCAAATAATAAACTGTCAGTTTTATTGACATATGTTATTTTTCGATGAAAAATCTTACTTTGTATATGTACAGTATTGTAAATTGTCTCTATTTTCAAAAGACTTGTGAGGTTCATATTCTTTGCTGTTGTTTGTCTGTTTCCTCTTTCTAGCTCCGAACACAGGACAGTACTGTCTTTGCTGGCTGCATTCTGTTTGGTTCTTATCTACCTCCTGGTTCAAAGACGGTGCTCATGGGTGTCCAAGGCTGCCCTCGCCCTCGGACTTGTGGGTGTCTACAGCTACCGTGCAGCTGTTGGCAATGTCATGTTTCCCTGGCAACACGCTGGTCGACCTATGTCCAAGTAAGTTTTTTTTCCCCTTGCCCTTCATTAACCTTTCTCTCACTGTAAAATTCAACAGGTTGCTGTTTTGTTATTCTGAGTTGATTTAAATGCAGGAGTGCTGCGTTGCTCTTGTGAGGCTGATCATGCAGGGTGCAGTGCTGCATGACTCTTAAAGAAACAGTTAGACTGACATCTTGTGTACTGAGAACAGAGGGCAAAACATTACATGTCACTTTATCTATCACCTACTCTTTCTTTACCATTAGCCTTCCCTCCCCCCCCTTTCCTTAAGTCTCCCAAACAGCAAGTGTTACCCCGAAAGTCCTAAAAAATGTATGTGTACAACATTACACTTAATTAATGTTAAGCACCTGTCTAGGGGGTTAGGTGTCAGAAAAATAAATGTTTCCTTCCTGGTCCCCAAACAAAAGGCCGGACAATTGGCTCAGGCAGAGCGAATTACCTCTTTTTATAACTACCTGAAACAAATGAAACCAAAAGACAAGAACTAAACCTAACTGTGGCACTAACTAAGAAGACAGAGAATGCCAGTTCATTCCTACTGCTTCTCAAACTTGAGAATTACCAAAACAGTGATGAATATCAAAAAAATCTACACTTTATAAACAAGGTGTCGGACAACAATTCAGGAAATAACACAGTTTGAAGGCAAAGAACACGGAGCTCTACCTGTGGAGCAGCATCAAAGATCCATACGCATACTTAGGCAGCGTCACACAGGCCATCCGTACCGTGCTGTAGTCAAGGACGATTGGCCCCCTGCTGCGCCATTCCCACGCTGGCCGGCGCCGGCCATGGTACGGATGGCCAGTGTGACCGCGCCCTTATACAGCCAGGGCCAAAACAAACATTTTTAAAAACTGTTTAAAAAAGTAAACAGAACAGACACATAATGGAGGGTGAAATGGAAAGGGGCTGTGGCTCAGTTGGTAGAGTCGGTCATGCAAGCTACATGTCCGACGTGTCCCTCTGCAAGAGACTCAACCTCAAGTTGCTCCTTCTGCTTTGTCAGCGGTGTATGAATGTGTGTGAATGGGATTAGTTACTTCTGATGATCACTTCAGTCAATCAGGGTGTGAATGGGTAGGTGTGTCATGCGGTGCTTTGAGTAGTCAGAAGACCAGAAAAGCGCTGTGTGTCAGGAAAAGATTAAAGCAGATTGTGAACAAACACTTAACTAAAGCGGAAAATAAAGAACAGTTGTATCTGGGAAATGAGAAATAGGTTGATGAATAGTCTCAATATTTTCAAACAACCCACTCCATCACCACCATGGCCCCGCTGTAAATCTGTGGGAATCACTGAAATATTTCAAACAGGTCTGGCAGCAATGACTCCTATAAAATGGCCCACTGTAAGATTATACTGCCCTGCTAGGTTGCTCAAACATACAAACATGCTCACATAATGGCCAATACAGAAGTATTTTCAAAGTACAAACAATTGCCATTTATATGGGTTCATGTAGGTATGCACTTGAATGCAACAGCACATCATACATTTTCTTGTGCTTGATATACCTCCATGGAAGTCATTACAGAGCCCTTTAAGGGACATGGAGGAGAATTTTTGGGTGATCTGGCCAAAACTTTTAAAGTCTTCTCTGGTCAATTAATCGTCAGCAGAGTATTGCTTTTATAAATCCAAACACCTCTGTCCACTCACAGTAAGGTAGAAAGTGGGCTCCAGCATTCATCGATACATGCCTTCCTGAGCTGAACAGCTTACAGTGGCCTCTATGCACAGCCAACAACAGTTCAGTCATTTGGTTGGAGAAAAATATTTGGTTCTAAGTTTGTAAGTTTGTTTACATTTGGCATATGTATTTTATGTTAGAGTCTTTAATAAGTCATGTATCATAGTTCAGTTATTCATTAAACAAACCTATTGACAAACTGCTGTTTGATAATTCAATTCACCATTAAAGGTCACATATTCTTCTCCTTTACAACCAGTTTAAATAAGTCTCAGAGCTCCCCAAAACATGTGTGTGAAGTTTCTTGTTATAAATCCACTCTGATCCTGTATTTGATCATGCCTATAAACCTCTATTTCAGCCCTGCTCAGAACAGGCTGTTTCTGTGTCTGTAGCTTTAAATGTGTGTCAATGTGTTTGACCACGCCCTCTCTGGAAGGAGATGTTCATTGGGCTTTCATGCACCATGCCCTATTGTTTGGGTGAAAAGGCAGACTCAGAGGGCAGAACAAACACCTAGCCGTGGGAGTGTCACCTACCTGGGGGAGGGGTTACTGCGTTTTGTGATGTCATGAAGGGAAAATGGTGGTGGAGAGGTTGGACTTTCCTCATAATTTGGGGGGTTTGTAGACAAGCTAGGGACACCTAATAGTGTTTTCCAAAAACATGGTCAGGTGTATTTTGCATAATTTGTGACCTTTTAAATGTTGTTTTAGTCTTTTAACTTACACTCCATCACCATTGTCCATACTATTCTATAGTGCTATCAATGTCTCTGCATGTTACCTGATAGTTTTGCAAGAAAAATCCACACTGGTTCATTGAAAATACAAAAATGACTGTGTGTTATTTTTCTCTTCTAGGGGAACAGTGGAGGCACGCTTTGTTTACGTGTTTGTTTTGGGCATCCTCTTCTCCGGCACCAAGGACCTGTTGCGTTCCCAGATTATCACCGCTGATGCCAAGTTGAAGAGCAGGGGATTGTGGGAGCTCTACAGTGGCTTGGTTTTGTTGGTGTCACTATTGTTTCGTGCCCACAACTTGCCCGTCCTCTGCTGCTGCCTGTTGGTCCAGACGCTCATGGCTCAGTTTATCTGGAAGAAACTCCACTATGATGCTGCCCAAACCACCATCATGCATTATTGGTTCGGTCAGGCATTCTTTTACTTTCAGGTAAGCAATCATACCTCATAAGTGATGGCAAGGTTTTTACAGTCTCTTTGAATTACTGCTGTTTTTTATTTCAATTGTGATTAATAATATCAGTGATAAATAATAATCACTGTTATTATAATAATGACAATGATAATAATATAGACTTGAGTATTTGAGACAAAAAAAACAAAATAAAAAAGTTCTTTCCCACTTTCAGAACACTCCAGAAAAGCCGGCTTAAGTTAAACGTGGGTTGAATGAAGTTCCCAAGTTTGTTCAACTATTTGCAAAACGGCAGACTTCCTATGTGGTTAACCTTGTTACATCAACAGTGTTATCTTTGTTTGAGGTAATGGGATTGTAAATATCCCTACCAATTTGTACGTACATGTAGGTGACACTGGGCTGCACGGTGGTGCAGTGATTTGTGCTGTTGCCTCACAGCCAGGAGGTTCTCGGTTTGAATCCCCGTCGGACAGGAGCCTCTCTGTGTGAAGTTTGCGTGTTCTCCCCGTGCATGCCTGGGTTCTCTCCGGGCACCCCGGCTTCCTCCAACAGTCCAAAGACGTCCTTGTTAGGTTAATTTGTGACTCTTAGGTTAATTGCCTGTAGTTGTGAATGTGAGTGCAGCTAGTTGTTTGTCTCTATATGTCAGCCCTGTGATTGACTGGAGAACAGTCCAGGGTGAACCCCGCCTTTGGCCCAATGACAGCTGGGATCGTCTCCAGCAACCTTGAACGTGAAAAGCAGTATAGATAATGAATGGATGGTTGGTGAAACTTTGTGGACTTCATTTAATCATTTTGAATGGGGTACTATCTGTAGCTATGATTATTATTGGCAGAACGAATCTGTTCTCAAAGTGTGGTAGCCAAACATATAAAACACAAGGCTGTAAATAGGCTTGAGCTTGTATAGTGCTTTTGTAGTTTTCCACCTACTTAAGGCTGAGAGGGAAGTATTTCATGTAACCATGAAATGTAAATCATGTAAATCATGAAGAATTTAGTGTCCTGCAGAAGAGGTATTTTGTGTTTTCATTATTTTGGACTGAAATATGTATTTGCTTTTCTAGAGATTTTTTGTGTGGCTTTATCTCCATCTATAAACCAGATTGTTGACTTCATACCAAGAGTATGTTCTAGACCTGCTCTTTTGTAAAGTGTCCTTTAGCCCTGTTTCCACCAAGCGGGCTGGTTTGGTACGGTAAACCCTGATCTTGCTTGTGTTTCCACAGCCAACTGTACCCTTTACGCATCACTAAATCACAGCGCCACATAGTGTAGACAGCCAAAAAATTCAACTAAGAAGAAGAACATAACACAGTAAACTAAGATCAATGATCATAGGGAAGTGAAGACTCTTTCGACCAATCTGCTGGGGTCGGATCAGTATGCTTGGCACCCTAACAGAAGGGTATCAAAAAAGTAGGACAGTAGGGATCAGTTATTTTGGTAACATTCCCAACTTTTGACAGTGGAAACGCAAACAAATGTGTACCGTACCGAACCAAACCTAACCGGACTGCTTGGTGAAAACTGGGCTTTAGATAACTTTTCTTATGATTTGGAGCTATACAGCTAAAAAAATGATTGATTCAGACATGAGCCAGTTAAAGTCACAAGAGTAAGAACTAGGTGTACAACTGTGGAACCAATCAAGCTACCATCTCTGTAAAATTAATGATCATCACAGGGTTGTTTTTAGAGCTCAAAGGTCAAATGTACACTTAAGTTTAAATGAGCTGACAAAAGGGACTTGACAGAGGAACAAAAAAGTCAATGTTTGTGTTTATTTATGCTTTTGGTGCACATAACTGCATTGGATTGATTAAATCCACCATTTACTGCATAGCAGAGCAAATAGCATCACTGTGTTCTGGTGCTGTTTGCAGGTTTTCAAATCCAAACAGCAAAAAAGGAGCGCATTCAAACAGAAATAAAACTTCAGGTGCAAAAGACGACAAAGTAAACCGAAAAGTCGGCACGCTAAATGTCCTTTAAAGCGTTGCAATGCTGATCAAGGCTTTGTGCTGAAATGTGTCAGTTGTTGATCTGTATGCTGCTGCTCTACCCACACAATACTGACTTTAAGGACATTTAGTGTGCTGACTTTTCTGTCTTCCAGGTATTCAAATCTGCCATTATGCATGCAATGCAAATTAGCCTCACTGTGAAAAGCAACTTATTCTAAAACACCAGCGGAGATAAACACCTGAGTTAGAGTGACTGACAGTTGGTGGTGACTGTGTCATAATATATAAAAGTTTGAGTTTCATGCTCAGCCTTTCTAATGATTATGAGAAAAAATACCCAACGTTGTATAACCAAAAAATAAATAGTGTGTGAATACAATCTGTAAATGTTACTTTGACTGAGTCTGCCTGAGTTTTAACCTAGGCCCATACAGGCACGTTCATTACATGTGTGGAACAGTTTGGAAGACAAGGATGAGAAAGGGGCAACATATAGTGCAGTTGGCAGCCGCATCCATTCTTTACTATTTCAACCAGGGCGGCTGTGGCTCAGTTGGTCGAGGAGCCACATGTCCGATGTGTCCTTGGGCAAGACACTTAACCCCAAGTTGATCCCACTGCTTCTTCAGCGGTGTGTGAATGGGATTAGTCACTTCTGATGGTCACATAGCAAACTCTGCCATCAGGGTGTGAGTGGGTAGATGTGACATGAGATGTAAAAGGGCTTTGAATAGTTAAAAGACTAAGCGCAGAACAAGCTCAAATCCATTTACCATTTATCCCAAATTCAAGTATTTTGAGTTGAAGAGACAGAAACCTCGACAGTTAGGAGGGAAAACAGAAAAACCTCCAAATAAACATTGAAACAAAAACAGCATAACTGAAGGATTTAATTGGCCATGATAAAACAGGAAGCAGTATCGTTCAGGGTCAAGTCTAGCATACTCATGAACACTGTTAGAAACAACTTCTTTCCGGAAGCGTTTAAACCCACAGATCTTTGTGACAATTGTTGGTCTGCTTCGGTGAATTGCTCCTCCCGTGGCAATGCTAATGAAAGATCTCTTTGTTCTCCTGCAGGGGAATTCGAACAACATTGCCACCATCGACATTTCCGTTGGGTTTGTCGGGCTGGAAAGTTACATAGAAGCACCCGCCATCTTCTTAACAGCCCTTAGCACTTACGCAGGGCCCCTGCTATGGGCCTGTCATCTCGTCTGCTACCTGAGCTCAGAGAGAGATAGGTAAGTTACGGTTTAACATTCACACAACGGGCATCATAATCGACCCGGGGCATTTGATACTGGGTTTACTTTTGCAGTTGACCGGTTAAGACAACTTGACCCGACTATAAAACAAAAATGATTATCCCATTTAAAAAATACTAACAAATGTGTGTTAAGGAAAAAATAAAGTCAAACAGAATTACAAATTGGGCTTATGTTCATCTTTATATCAAGCATTCACTTTTAATCATTTTCATGCCCGAAAGAAGTTCAGTCTGTCAGTCTGTTTAGCTAGGAAAACCTAGATACAGACATAGATAAAATGTCTGCCTAGTTTATAGGATTCTTCATGGTTTAGCTCCCCCTCCTCGGTCTGGTTTTATTAACTTCAAAACTGCCACAAATAGGACCAGGACCACTAGAGGTGCTGCTAGGAGGGACTGCACAATCCCACTCTGGAAAACCCCATTCAGTCTTTTCCTTCAGAGCATCCCATCAGTGGAATTTAATACCGCAATCAATTATTGAGTTAACATCCTCTCATTCATTTAAATATAATGTTAGAAATGGTTTATTGTGAACCAACAATGTCAACACCGATGCTGGACCTACTCATGGTAACTTTATCATGTTGGAGATTATTTGTTCTCGTTACGCACACTGTATATCTGTATGTTTCTACACTAATGAACTTAATGTTAATGAGTTATAGTTCATTCTACGATGCCAAAGAACATCTGGCAAAAGGACTGCCGATGAAGATTAGCCTTTGGACTGACTCGGGTACATTTACATCGGTGTGAATGTTTATTTATGGACACAGTCACTTTTTAAATAAATAGATAGAATAACAAAAAAACAGTGAGCCATTAATATCAATAGAGTGTGAAACTAGTGAGCAAGCAAGACAGATGAAGAGAAGGCAGACAGGCCAGTAGCTTGATTGTTGCATGTGTGTGTAAATGCAGCCAATAACTACCTCAGCACGGCCGCAGCCAGTTCAGATTGATTACTTCAAGGGCTCGACAACAGCTGTCCTGCTGATTGAGCCAAAACTAAAATGTTCTTTTAGACAGAGGATGGCAAACCATCCCATCGGTCTCTGATTAAAATGCTCTTCATCATTAAAGTCTTGACAAAAAATTCTGCTGGTGGCAGTGTGGCCCATTTAACAGCCGAGCTTTGGTGATCTCAGATCCTTTCATTTAGCACTACCATGAGGTAAAATGTCCCTGTTTTATCTTCGACAGATAAAAGATTTCTATGTAAATTTCACCATCACGGAAAATGGTAAATGGACTTCAGCTTGTGTCGTGCTTTTCTAGTCCTCTGACTATCAAAGAGCTTTTACGCAGTCAGGTCACACCTACACGTTCACACTCATTCACAGAGACTGCTGTTTAAAGTAACCGTCAGAAGTAACAAATCCCATTCATACACATTCATAAGCAGCGGGAGTAACTTGGGGTTAATTGCCTTGCCCAACGACACATCGGACTGATGGCTGCAGTACTTGCGGGGGACATTCCGGTTGAGAGACGGGAGACCGGTCTTGATTTAAAATTCGGAGTCTGTCCAGTCTGACACCGAGACAAGACCGAGTAATAATGCTTTTGATTCCGAGATGAGACCTTCAAAAAGTGGTCTCGAGACCGGTCTTGAGACCAAGACTGATTTGAGTACTATAACACTGCACTTTGAACCGGTAGTTAATTTAATATTCACTATTATATAGTATGTTCAAATTTCTGTACAACACGTTAGTGCTAAACAAAGAAAAACAAAAACATAATGGGAGGAGATGTCGGGGCATTCTCATGTGTGCTTTTTTAATCTTTAAATAGCCAACTACCAACATAAATGGCCTGAACGGGCTTACAGCTCTTAGTATAGTAATACATGTCTCACTTGTCTCCCTTTTCCTGCTCGTTGCAGAAAAAGCTCATAATGGATTATTAGTTATTTGTCATAATAATTGGTGATTCGTTTCTTAACTCTCTTGCTGATTAAATTTCCACTTACAAACTCAAACTCCAATGTCACTTAATTTTCTGGTCTTGGGTGGGGGCTTGATGTGACTCCCCTTCTGGGACTCTCCCTGTTTGAATGGAGCCAGATCCCTGTGTGTGTTACAGGCCGTGCCAGAGACTGGTGCGCATGTCCACAAGACCTTTTAAAATCTGTGCGTGCGTGCGTGTGTGTGTTTGGTATAACATTATACTCTTTAAATATCCGCACTACTTGCCTTCTACGATTATGCTGGTTTACAGTCATTTTAACATGATTTGACAGTAATCTAAAGCACTGTGGGAAGATAATTAGAATAAACTTGACTCCTGGGAAGAAACATAAGGTCACAACTCAAAAATGGGAAAAATGTAGTTGTATAGGAATCATCAAAAATGTGCACTGAGAAGGATTTAACATCATGTTAAAAAATATGAAGAGTCCTAGATGACCTTGGTTCACACACTAAGTATTTTCACGTCGCTCTACAGGAAGTTTGCTTATTATCCAAAGCTCAGAGTTGCTTGCTTTCTCTCTGCAGTGCTCTCCTCTCCTCTGATGAATCCTTTCTCTCTCTCTGTAGGAGTCCGGTTGCAGTTGGCCATGGCTGCTACTGCTTAGCCCTGCTGAGGTCTGTGCCAGCAGCAGCCTACATTGTTCTGGTCACTGTCCTGCGGTACCATCTCTTCATATGGAGTGTCTTTTCACCAAAATTACTGTACGAGTCCATGCACGTAATGCTGACTGCAGGAGTCTGCCTCTTCTTCTACACAATGGAGCAAAGCCCCAGTCCCAGTAAGTCTTAAGGAGCCGAAGACTTCAGAAATCCCCTGCTATGAAAGGATTGGACAGTTTACTGTGTGAAGGACTGTCAGACTGATACACAGGACAACATGCTTACCCTCACTTATTATCTTTCCAATCTGTTAATATGTGAGAAGTTGCTTTTGAAAGGGTCCTCCTTTTGCACTCTGTTTGGTTTCCCAAAAAAAAAGAGATGGAAATGAGAATGTACTTCTGTAGTCTTTTCAGATATTTGCTCTCTGTGGGGACAAACATTATTCTGGTGAATGAATGTGAAATGGCGTAAAGAAGCTTTTTGAAATAGTAACTTTTGAATAAATTGTATATTATCTCAGGAGCAGACTACAGTTGAATACTGTGCTGCTGAAACACTAATGCAGAGCTACATCTATATTTTGGCTATAAGTGACTAATATTTATGTTTCATAGGAGAACATAATGTGTGTTTGCAAATTGGTGAAGTTCCAGTACTCACAGAGCTTTTGATAACACATAAGTAAAGACTTACAACCTTCAGGTGCTTTCAGTTATTCTGTCTGATTCAAGTGTTTGTTGGAGTTGTGCCAAGCACTGCTTGAAGTTACATGAGGCAGCATATCCACTTGGCATTATCCAAAGCAGACAGTTTGTCATGTCACTAAAGGAGAAGCACGGGCATTATTAATAAATTGAGTGATAACAAATTTAGCATCCTAACTTTTTTTTGCTTGTGCATGAACTATACCGTGCCGAAGCACACCTTTTCCATGAGTGCCAAGGCCAAGGAAGTGTACCGTGCTTGGGCACAAATCAGAGCACTCACACTTATCAAATGAACTGCACTTTAGGGGTGAAGCGTGCTTAGGCACGGTACGGATAACCTACGGTCAGAGCGCCCTTAAAATATAAACTTAGGACTTTAGTCATACTTTAGACATAGTGGTCATACTTTCCCGCGATGCATAGCTGGATACAACACAATATTTGTCAAAGTAATATACTGTAGGTAATAATGATATAGGGATGTCTGATCTAATTGTATTCACTTGTAGTTTTTATAAACAGACAACCAGAACCTTAAACTGGTTATTCTGAAGTATGCCAATAAAGAAAAGAACATTTAATGTTTTTACATTTTTTCTTCAGCTCTAACTTAACATTTTTAAGTAATTCATAAAAAGGTTTTCTCTGGTATACATGAAATGTCATCTAGAAAGGTCACCAGACACACTGTTACTTTCTTTAACAACTTTTTGTCTTTTAGTGTAACAAAATACTTGATGAAACTTAAAGGTCACATATTGTCCTCATTTTCAACAAGTTTAAATAACAGTACTGTGAAGTTTCTTGTTCTAAATCCACTCTGATCCTGTATTTGATCACGTCTATAAACCCCTCTATTTCAGCCCTGCTCAGAACAGGCTGTTTCTGTGTCCGTAGCTTTAAATGTAAATGATCTGTGTTTGACCACGCCCCTCTCTGGACAGTCTTGGGTGGCTTGGGCATTCTCGCTCCATATTGTTTAAGGAAAGAAGGCGGACTCAGAGGGCAGATCAAACACCTAGCTGTGGGAGTGTCACCCACCTGGGGGAGGGGTTACTGCCCTTTGTGATGTCATCAAGGGAAAATCTCCAAACTGCTTTTTGGAGGACAAATTTTCTGAAAAGTGGAGCAGGCAAAAGATGGAGAGAATGGACTTTTCTCATTATTGGGGGGTTTGTAGACTGAATAGAGACACATATTAATGTTAGAGAAATCATGCTGAAGTTTATTTTGCATAATATGTGACCTTTAAGCTCCATACGAGGTAATTAGTTAACTCTCATGTCATAAAATGCTTTTTTATGAAATCTCTTTTTCTGCATAATCTTCTTGAGGCAAGATATAGAATGCAGCTGATTATAAATGAGCTCAGAGTCATAGACAGTCATTCATGTACTACGCATTTCCTGTGTAAATAACTGTCATGTTGTTTTCTGTACATTGTTTCTCAACATTAATTCCTCAGAGATGTATTGCGGGAAAAATGTTCAAATCATTCCAGTGATATGACTTAAAGGTCTGCTACACTTATTTTACTAGCCATTCTTACTTGCTATACTATATGCGCCTCATCATTTGGATATGTAAGTCATATTATTTTCAGACTGGCAAAGCGCTGCAGACTTATGAACCTCTTTAACGTCTGTGAAAAATGTTCCTTCAGTATCTCTGCGAGTGAGCTGGCTGCAGTATGACATGCTCATAAGGAACGCTGCACTTAATGAACATTACTTTAGCTCTGTTTAGTCGTTTAGTTTTAAAGAGTGCTGAAGTTCTTTGGTAAAATAGAATGGTAACATTACCATTGTAAAATTGTTTATAAAATCAACTTTTTTCTTTCTTTGTTTGACCTTGTTATTTAATAGTTTCATGGCCGTGTCCGAATTGTGACCACAGGTTGCATCAGACATGGACTGGTCTCAGTGATGCCACACATTGGTTTCTAAAGCAGACTTTTGAAGCCCATCGATGGCGGTCACCATGTTGGAAATGCTGTCTCAAACTAACTTTTGGTCAACCCTAGACACAAACAAATAGCTGAAGCCCCTTTTTTATGAATAACTCTTATCCTTTATAACATCTAAACAGATGGTTATTGTTTTTGTAAATCAACCCCCTACAGTGTGTGCACTAAATAATAATTTATTCAGAACAAATTTATTTTTTGAACAAGGCTCCAAACATGTTTATACTTTAAAAATGGGAGTTTTAGAATGGGTTTGTTTGTGACTTCAATTTCTTTTAAATTGGAGGTTGCCGTTGATTGCAACAAACCTGCAAGACAAGTATGTAGATCAACACATTTCATTCAATGGATCTCAGCATTTGTCAGGTGAAATATTTTGCTGTCTGTACAGGAAGTCACTGTGATAAAATGAAAATGCTCACAAAGAAAAACAAGTCTTCATAACACTCCTCACTGCTCATCTTACCGACGAGTGTAGAAAAAAAAAAAAAGCCTGTACAAGAAGAGGCCTAGAAATAGCTTATCACAGATCTGATGGGACATCTCTCTCTGTGGAAAATCCCTCCTTTGTATCCAAATACATGTAACTTTGATAAATGTAGCTCTGTGCTCATGATGGATGTCGGGTCTTTATAGATGATATAACAGTGAGTCAGGTCTTTTACCTGCTCTTTTGTAAAATGTCTTGAGATTTGAAAATTAGTTTTGAATTGGCGCTATACAAATAAAGATTGATTGATTGATTGATTGATTGATTAATATGATGGATCAGAAGAAGAATAGTTGAAAGCTTTTGAGCATGTGTTCTCCATCCTGTACATTCATCAGAACAAAGATTGTGTTTTTAAAAGCATTTAGTCAGTTTTTTAAAAGTTACCTTTATTAAATGTCTTATAACCGGTCAGAATCCATTCATTCTTTCATTAAATGTATTGATTTGTTTTACAGTTATCTCTGTTCAGTCTGTTGGACTCAAACAAACCCATATATTTTAGGGTTCCTACATGACATTTCTTCATGTTAAAAATAAAATGATTGATCTTTAAACATCCTTTAATGCAGAGAGAGGACAGTGGACAGAGTCGGAAACCAGGGAGAGAGAGCGGGGAACGTCGTGCGGAAAGGGGCCACGGGTGGAAGCGAGCCCGGGCCTACCGCTCGAGACGAGAGTCTCAACACATGGGACGCGCGCACTAACCATTGCACCACCAGCGCGCCCCAATCTGTAAACATCCTTGTTTTATGTTCTTTTTTGTAACTATGCATCCTGTTTGTGTGTGCACATTTTTCACCACGTTGTTTGTGTCTTCCCTAAAGAAGAATGGTTTTAAATTGTACTTCTTATTTCTGCCTGCTGATAAGAAAGTGCTGCATCACGTGAATAATTGAAAGGGACAGAGGAATATTTCCCCAAATCAGTTTTATCAACACTTGTTTGTATGGGATTACTCTTATAAATAAAATATAAATGGGTAAACACAGATTCCTGGCTTTATTTTTCAACTACAACAAACAAAAGCTGTTCCAATATGAATATAAGTCTTCATGTAAAAGTAGTGAAAAGCTGCCCATTCAATGATCTTTCAGCTTTCTTACTGACTGTAAAACTGGAAAGAGAAGACCAGTGACAAGGACAAATTCCTGTGTACTGGGAGTAATACGGTAGTATAATGGGGGATGTTAACTCATTCTTACCCAGAAAAAATATGTATTTTCAGAGAGTGTCAGATGTTCCTTCTGTGATTTTGTACTTATTATTTATTTTAATTTGTATTTATTTTAATCTCTTTGCTCTCTTCACCAATGACATCTATCATTATGGCAATACCTACAACAGTGGTTATGTTTTTGTTCCCTCCATTTTATCATTTTGTCCATCTTATTCAAGTGTGGGCCACAATGGGACTCTTCGTCTCTGTAACGTCCCTGTTAGAGTCGGTCTTCTCTCAACCGGAAGGCCAGGGGCCGGGGGCGTCGGGCGTCGTATCAATGGATCAGACATTTCTGATGGTCATTTTAAATAGCAACCAATGCCATCAAAGTGGGAATGTGTAGGTGTGACCTGTGGTGTAAAAGTGTATTGAGTAGTCAGAAGACTAGAAAAGCGATATATAAGCTCACGTCCATTAACCATTTACAATCTTGTGGGGGATCCTGAGGCAGTCCCAGGCTTAAAGGGATATATCTTGATAGTCCTCCCAGGCCCTTTTCCTATTTTGCATCTTTATCAAGATGCCCAAACACCTCTACTTGTTCCAGGAGCTGAGATTAACCAAACTTAATTCTGGATGGACTCACTCATCTCACACATTAGTTTGTGCTTCCATGACCACAGTGGCTGTGTGTTCAACATTAAACTTTAATGGGAAGTATGAACCAACAGTGCCTGGCTGTCTACCTCTCTCCGTCTAGTGCGGGGTGTGGGGGGGGATTGAGATGTATCTAATAACAGGGTTAGAGCAGCTGCATAAGAAATTGAAGATTTATAATGACTTGGATCTTCCCCTACGAAAGCGACCTTACCTCAGCTGCACCACTTTCCTCTTGTGATGCTCCAGGAGTTGTCTGCTAAGTGGCAGACGGCAGCAAGCCAAAGAGGTTATTGCAAGTTTAGATCTGGCTCCCCTGAAAACACAGCCACTGCAGGAGGTATTGATTGATGCATGACTCACTCTGTGCTCGCAGATGCCAGGATTCCCCTTCTCCCTTCACTGAATCGCTGCCACATTTTGTATTCCAAGCCACTGAGAGGATCCAGCCCACTAAAACTCTACAAAGCTGTTAAGACCACTGGAGGGAAATACTTGCTGTTTGCATTAAATTACTACTGGCTTGACTGATACACACTCGTTTACGCTTTGCAAACTACATTTTCGTTGACTTGAATTGAGAACCCTTCATTTAAAAAGACTGTGATTCTACTTTTTCAGGCCTGCTTACCGATCAAAGTCACAAAAGAAAACAAGTAGGTGATTGTTATACATGGCATTCTATAAACTAAGTCTTTTAACTTCAAATGTTAAGATGTGTCAAGGAACTATTCTTGGACTTGGAAATTGACTCCATAAAGAGAGTCTTAATGCAGTTTGTCTTTTGGAGGAGTTTCAGGTTAAACGAAAATCTGAGGCACCCAGAAATTCCATTAAAATTGTACTTTTCAGTTTATGAACAAAGTAGCCCAAAGTTAGTTATAGCAAATAATATTTTCCAGCAAATGGCACTTTTGTTTTCACATTAATGGCAAAGACATGATAGGCATCAGGTAAAGAGAAGTTGGTTTTTATTGCCCAAAAGTTACTTGAAACAGCTCAACAATCCCTGAAGCTTAGGCCTGCAAGGGTTCACTTATACCCAGCAGGTTTCTAGTTTGAAATTGACTGGCTGAAAAACTTCAACTATTAAGAGCAAGGAGACGTGTTAATTATTTGTCCAAAAAGTTAAGTACTACTTTTTCCCCCCATTAAAATAGTTATTAATAGTAAAACACATGTTTATCTGGTATGCATTGTAACTAATTCACAGGCAGTCACATCTGTGTTAGTGAATGGAGTTCCCTAAGTTGTCTGTGTGACGGATCTGTTTCTGTGCCAGCTCGGTTTGCCATTATCGGTAACTGACTTTCTTTCTATTTCTAACCATCAGTCACACCAGTGCACACTGGTATAACACATCTGCACAGTAAATTTAGCTCATTCTAAAGTAGCTTTGGTTATGATTTCAGCACAGCAAGTTATTCGTTCATAATCTGCAAATAATGCAAACACATGTTAAAGACATTGTTTGGCCACTTTAAGGTTTTAAAGCACTGCTCTGGTGCCTTTTTTAAGTTGTGCATTCAGTCATAACAAAAGCTCAAAGGTTGCTGCTTCTGTAGAAGGTAATGATGATCAGAATCTTTAATGGAGGTACAAAGAAGAATCTGAGTTTTGGGTCTAATAGCTTGGAAGCGTAGGCACTAAGCAGTGCACTATAATTTTGTTTGAAAAGATTGTTGGCTTTTAAAAGCAAATGTGTAGCTTTTCCAGACAATTTGTGGGCAGCATGCAGCACACAGGTAATTGGTTATGTGTTTGATGAGAGGCTTTTAGGTATTGATTGATCCCTCCCAGGTTCGACCAGCCAGAGTTATGTCCTTGAAAGACTTTAGGACATGTATTCAAATGGAAAGAAATTGTATTCAATGTTTGTTTGCTTGAGCCCTTTGTGCCTGCGCCTGCCAGTAGAACAACCCTTATTTTATCTGTGTGAACAGCGCTTCAGCATTTAAAAAGTGAACATAGTTTTTAAAGAGCTAATTGTGTCACTGAGTCTGAACAAGCACCAAAGAAATGTTTGATCTCACCTCAAGGCTTCATCCGCTTAACCCCCGTGTACTGTACTGTCCACGTATATCATTCATCCAGATATCTGCAGTGTAATCACTTGTGCAAAGACTCCCACTACCTCAGAGGGAGGAATTTAGAAATGCAAGTCAGCGTTTTTTACTTTGTGTGACCAGGGCCGGAGGCTGTCATTAGACTAATGCAGCACTGCTGTCCAACAAGAGAAAAATACAGGCTGCGGAGAATACAGATAGTTCACTGCTCTACTTTACAACCTTACATGTCTTTGTTGTTTCTAGATGTGCACTGACTATTAGTTGTTTGAAGTAGCAGGATTATTTTATATTGTAGAATGCATGTAATGGGAAGTCTTTAAAGGGACAGTACACCAATTAAATTAACACTAATTTCTTTTACTTTTTACAGCAGAAGACAACATCTCAGATGATGTCATTTTGATTTTGAACGAAAGCACATGAGCGAAAAGTCACCATGTTAATTCCCCCAGTAACAAGGCACTTCACCCTGTCTCCTTTCAAGTAGAAGTTTGACATGGCTATCAGAAGAAGACACTGGCTGTCATGGATTCACAGTGGGGATGTGTGAAAAAAACTTGAATGTGAATTGCTGGAAATAAGGAATCAGCTCAGGCCACCCCCGCTGGATGAAATACAGACTATAGAGTTAATGTGTAATCTTACGTCTTCATTACTGTTAACAGTTGACATTCTGTTAATGACCAAAGAGATACATTTGTCATGTCTGCAGGGTATGAACTACTTCAAGAGCAGTGACTTTTATCTCTCCCCCTATCCCTTTCCAAGCCCGGCGCAGTCTAGGCCTGTGAAGGCTGTTTCATGAGCCGGGGATCCGGCCGAAGATTTTGCCTTTTAATAAGGCATATTTTTCTTCCCACTGTAACTTTTGCTGCTTTGCTAAAGTGCTCATGATGGATAGGCCGGGTCTTTGTAACATAGCAATAAGTAAGGTCTTCTACCTGCTTTTTGTAAAGTGTCTCGAGATAACACTTGTTATGAGTTGATGCTATACAAATAAAAATGTATTGATTGATTGATTGATTTTAGAAACTTGATCCTTCACTATTTGACTCATGTGGAAGAATGTACTTTGAGACGTCAGATATTTACACAGACATTTGAATTTGGCTAAATCGAACCTTCTCTCTGCCTGGAAGATTTTCAGGTTGTTTTTTTAAGCATATAATGTTAGTGTGCAAACAAAGGGATGTTTCAATCAAAGAAAGAATATAAATAAGTAGATTTTACGTTGCTGCCAAACTATCTTGATGTAAAGAATGGCATAAAGTGGTCCACAAAATCTAATTTTCCAATGTTTTTTTTTTCTTTTTTATTCCTGCATCCAATAAATGTCTTCATGTTTGCTCTTTTTAGCAAACAGATAATTTTACATTCTGTAATTCTGAAAAGTCCCTGTCAATCTTTATTTGTATAGCGCCAATTCATAACAAATGTTATCTCAAGATGCTTTATAAAAAGAGGAGGTACAAGATCTTACTCTTTGTTATGTTACTAAAGAGAGGGTCAAAGACCTCACGTACCACCTGTTAAGATTTTAAAGTTTACCCAATTTGACAGAAAATGTGACTAAAATTCACCCATCCCCCTGAAATCTCTGAACCGCCGTTTTGCCTTCTTTACAATTCCTAATAAGATCAATTCTTCTAGGAGATGCTAACTATTCAACAACCTAGGAGCACAAACAAAAACTTTCATCATCATTCCTGAACTACTGTAATGTTTCTAAAATGTCCAAAACAAAACTAAAACTGACCAAACATACAGAAACCGCACACACACACACACACACACACACACACACACACACACACACACACACACACACACATAAACTTCACACACACACATATACACACACACACACACACAAAATTCCAATCTTAAACATTTTAATATTGTATGGACACACCTTCATGATCGGGTAAAATTATAAAAGGGGTTAGAGGGGTTTTGCATGATTCCCTGTCCTGCTTCTGAGTAATTTAAGCAAAAAGCTGATTAAGGCTCAGACTGTCCCTGTGCTTACTCTGATATTCCAAATGCACATTATTATTTATAGCAGTTATATAAACCATAACCCTTTAAAATGTTTATCTTTGATACAAAAATGGAAACTTCAACGATTTCACAATCCAACTTATTTTTACTCATCAGGGGAAACCAGGTAGTTTTCTTCTCTGACAGGAAAGTTGCAAGGTGAAATAATTACACGTATGATGTCACAGTGAGGTTATAACTGTTCCCTCACTTTGGATGTTGAGAGACAAATGGATGTTTTAAATGTGTAAGTGTGGCCTGATCATTAATGTGGTCCTCATCCTGCTATATTATGGGAATTATTGGAACCAATAACGTTGACGCTTTTCTCTCACTGCAGACTCAAAGTCAGTAGATCTTGGGATAGGTTGAAACAGTTTGAGAAATGTAAAGGTATATTGATTTACTAGCAGAAACACAACACTCAGATAAAGGTGGTTGAACCCTGGAAAGCTATATCGACAGGAGCAAGACATCTGATGAGGTTAAATACACTTTTTATTCACCAGTAAAAATGTTATAGTCACAAACTCTGCCTTAATAACAGGCTACTCGAAAGCTGTTGCTTATGGACCTTCACCTGCCTTCACTGTCTTGGCCAGCATCACTTTGATCTGCTCACATCAGTCTGACTGGTGGCGTACTATTTGAACTACCACGCAGAGGTTTAAGAAAACCATCTGGATTTGAAGGATCGGTCATTTAAAATTCACTTTCTGTCGCCCTCCTGTGAAACTTACTGGTTTTGATGGGGATTTGGAGAAAAAGAGCAGAGTAAAAGTAATTGATTGTCATGGCAGAGGAAAGTGCTGCAGGAGGCAAATCCAGAGCTGCTATGTGTTGCATGCCTCAGCGGGGAAAATGTCATCGTATGCGGGCGGCAGTTCGGCAGGGAGCGGGTAGGAGAAAGGGAAGCAGTGATTTAGTTCTGGGTCCGTGGGCGAGTATCCCGGCAGCTCGCTTGACGGGTGTCCCCCGCACTGCACCTCTGCACCTGTCTCGTCAAACACATGAAAAACACCCAAGTTGATGTAAGACACAGGCTGGAAATCAGCGGAGGCGCAGTCCCGCTCCTCACTGAAGATGATCGCGCCGACGCGCTGTCTCTGAGCCTGTCGGCCCCTTGAAACCTGTGCCCTTTTGTAGCTTTTGATGACCACTAGGTTGATGAGCCCAAGAATGCACTCCAAGGTGCTCAGAACAGTGGAGATAACCAGAGTCCGCTGATATTCCCTCAGTTTCTCGCAGGCAGGGTTTCCAACAACTGAGTGGAAGCAGTAATGAGAATATTTCCTCTCTACCAGAGAAGCCGTGTCCCCGTCTACTACCGCGCCGGAGAAGGCAGTGAGCACTCCCAATAAAGAGACGACAACACAGAGGAGAAAGAAATTCCTGCAGCCGGGCTTCTCCCTGCAACAGAGCAGCGCGGAGCCCAGCAGGACCTGCCCGATTCCCACAAGTAGCCCGGAGTAGAAAGCCCCTGCCGCGGCGCCGAGGTGGAACTGCGCTTTCACTGTAGATCCCAACGAGACGCATCTTAATCCAACGACAACTTCGCTCAGGGCGCTCACGAAGAGGAGGGTGCTGGAGAAGACGGTGCACAGTCCTTTCCCACTCAACTTCATTATATTCCACCTCTTCCGCTCTCGATCCCTCTCCCCTCGTCTTCATCCTCCTTCGTCTGTTCTGGAGGCCCTCTCACATTGGGACATCTTTTGCCGGTGACTCCTCCAGTTCCGGGCAAGGGATAGTCGCAGGCAGCTGAGGTGTACCTCCTACATCCCCGCCGCTTTGATAACCAATTCCAACAACGCACTCCTATTGTGGCGTCTTCGCGTCAAGTCCTCATTAATCAATGATCATGCAAACACTGTCAGACTCCTGAAAGACTTTCCTTAGGCTAAAGTTTTTTGTTGCCCCTTCAGCACCCTCTTGAACAGAGAGACTAAACATATCACACAAATAGTGTGTCGCGGTTTTTGGCTGCTTGAATTGGAGATGCTGGAGGGTCCTCTGACCCACAATGACTCCAAATCTCAGCAACACTTTACAAAGGCTTTGAATGTGTCTAAAGGAGGCTACTCGTCGTGAGTTTAACAATGAGGAAACATAAAAGAAAAGCACAAGTTTATTTGCTAATGACTCTAGGGGGGATTATTTTCACAGCCCTTTAAAGTTGAACTTAACTGATACTAGTAGCCTATTAAACTGTATCCTGCAAATATTCGTTGAGATTCAAGTTCATTCTAATTTCTACAAGGATATAATATAACTCTGTCAACTTCTAAGGGTGGTTTTGTGGGCTACACACATAATGTAGCCTCATATCGCCATCCTTGCATAACTTCTGAATTAGTGTTGTTGTTGTTGTTGTTGAGGGTGGCTCTTTATGGAAATCAAAAACCAAAAGCATTAAATATAGACCAGAGCTGCTGGGATGGCGTGAGGCTTGTGCGCTGTCCGTGGTGCTGAAACAAGCAGCCCGGGCCAGATGGCAGCTGACTGGACTCCTCTGCAGCTCTCCTCTTAGCCAACCTCCCAGCTAATACAACAGGTTTGTGAACGTAGGAGAAACTACTTTCTTGCTTTTTCTGTAGAACAGATGACTTGTGCGTTACAGTTACAGAACCTGTTTTTTTTTGTATTTTAGTGTAGATGGTCTTGGATTAATGGACATTTTGAAGACCACAGTTGATCAGAGAGGGGAAAACAAAGGCACAAAACAAACGAAGAAGTAAATACTGCTAGTCACTTGAAGTCCATGCTGTAATGACTAATAGACACTGACCATGAACTAAGTGTTGATATTTTTTTTACATACTTTATGAATCCCTGAGGGAAAATTCTGTTTAACACTTGTTGAGAGACTTTCTCACACACATAGGCTCTGAATCACACACATGCACAAACAGGACCTGTGGAGCAGAGATGAAATTTTTTTTTTTAAGAAATGACGAGATGAAACTATCTACAAAGTAAGAAGGGTAAAGAAAAGGATTGTTTCCAATAACGTTTAAAAAGAGCATTATTCTTTTTTTTTTATTTCTTTAGCTTTTGCCTTTTCAAAGGGACAAAGTGGATCATTGGTGGAGTCGGTCGTCTCTCAACTGGAAGGTTGAGAGACAGCAACATGTCCTTGAGCAAGACACTTAACCCCAAGTTGCTTCTGCTGCTTTGTTGGTGGTGTATGAATATGTGTGAATGGGATGAGGTACTTTTAATGGTCACTTTACATAGCAGCCTCTGCCATCAGTGTGTGAATGTTTAGGTGTGACATGTGGCGTAGAAAATGTACCATTTAAATGAATGAGAGACAGTGTAAATATAGAGAGATGTCGGGGGACTAAGCGATGGGTATGACATATAACAAGGTCCCTGTTCTGTGTGCTTTTATTGTGTTTGTGGTCAATCACTTTCCCAATAATACTTCACACTTCACTTTCATATACGTGTTTTTCAGTGAACAAGAAGATCCAGTTTATGTAATGTAGACATAATAATAATAACCATCATAAAACCTTTCTTGTAAAGCACTTTTGAACACACAAGTACAAAGTGCTTCACAGACAGGAGAATGTGTGAGTTTAAACATGCAGACTGTGGAGAGCTCCTTCCAGCTGGTCTAAAGTACCCAGGGGAGGACCACAGTCTTCTTTTGTCAGTATTGAAGAAATGAGCGACTAAAGTGGAAAGTGAGGTTACTTGGATTAGAACAATTAGTATCTCACAAAGTATTCAGCAGTAAATCAAATATAAAGTTCTTAATGTTTCAGGTGAACAACAGGGACACAACAGATGTTATCATGCATGTTCTCTTGTCATGTGAGAAACCACAACCAGCAAAATAAATGTCCTGGATCCCTCCTCTGTCCGTGGCTTCCAGCCTGAAGCTCATTAGCTCCTCTTTAAATACAGGCCAGAGATGAAAAGCTTAGCTTTCAGAAAGATGATGAATATTATTTTTTTAACTGCTGGTGTGAGTCAAGTTATTTTTCATCATGTTGTATCTTAGAGCAGGGGTTCCCAAACATTTCAACTCAGGACCTCCAAAATAACTGTTCTAGAGACTGACCTAGACAATGAAACTTTTATATTCTTTTGTGATTCTGATGTATTTGCATTTCTCTTTTTAACTCTGTGCTAAGACAAACAAACTAATACGTCCCTTTGGGTGAAACATTTGTTCTGTTGTGATCCCTTTAATGGTTCACAGCTTCCATGGGAGCTCAGCCTGCCCGGGAATTTCATCTGTTGTCCCATTTTGTTCCTCCGTTTTAACAGCAGTAATTCAGATAACAGTTTAGTGCAACTTGTTCAATCAAAGGATTCAAATTGCCTTCTGTTCCTCTGTAACAAATGCTTATGGGCAACTTTTACTTCTACCCCGTATTTACCTCAACCAGAGAGGGAGGAATAATCTAAGGTGTAGAGGGATAGAACAGCTTTCTGTGTGCATTTTCAAACAAACCATCGTCTTAGTTACGACGCTTCAAACTTGAAATGCATGATGATACTGTAAGATAGGAACATTTCCTTCTTGTTCATTATTTTCAGTTTGGAAATGCAAACAATTTATATATTTTTTTAGAAGCCAAAACACCTCATAGAGATTCCCGGTGCTGTCACCCACACTCTCTGTTAAGTTTCTTCTCAAGTAATGACCAGCTCTCGACGGATATTAAAACGTTTTTCTTTTGTATATAACACAGTTAAAACATAATGATGATGTGATTGCTAAATTGATTTGCCACAGGAATTTCTCATCATCCCTCCAACCAATCATTAGTAACTCTCTCTTCTCTGCACCTGGGCAAGGGAAATGTGTTTTTGAAACATGGTTTGTAAAAGGTGTTGAAACAATGCTAACAAAAAAAGCTGCAGTCCCTTGATCAATAAAGCATTGATAAAATCACCAGTACATGGGGGCTGTGCCCTGTGATTGCACGCTTTTGGAAAAATGTGAAAAAAAGTGCACTGTAAACTCTTACACAAGAAAGTTAAATCAAGTAAGCTTCTATTTCTCTCTCCACTTAGCCCATCAACCCCTCACAGTTCACTCTCCTAATGAATGTTGACATTGTATTCTGTTCCAAAGGATTGGGGGCAGCAGGAGCTCAGTCTGTAGGGACCTAGGTTGGGAACCAGAGGGACGCTGGTTCAAGTCTGGACCAAGTCTGGAAATTGTTTTGGTAGCTGGAGAGGTCACTTGCTGAGTTGCCTTGAGCAAGACAAGACGAATGTTTCCTAGTTTAGTCTTTATTGTTTCCTGTTTTATTTTGTGATTTCTTATCCTTGTTTCTCTATGTCATAGTGTGTGGGTGCATCCGAATTGCAAAAAGCCTACACAATCCGTCAGTACCTACTATCCTCTGCTGTATACTGTATACTGTACACAATCCCCGGAAGTTAGTATCCATAATGAAATGTTCAGTATACCCAAAAAATTGCATCCTGAACTGTGGCTATTCGGAAAAGGGCCACTAGCCCTGTTGAAGGGCTTCCATGTCTGCTCACTTCCCCTCTAGAGCCTCACTTCTTTTATAATGATGTCTTTAAGCTCCACGTTCTGGTGTTGCAGAGCAGAAGCTGTAGTCAGTCCTTGAGAGGAGACTGTCTTGTCCTTGAGAGAGGTTTTGGACACTTTTCAAATTGAACAGACTGAATGAGAAACTTAAAGGATGGAGCTGAGTGACCTCTATGAACAGCAGCAGGAAGAAGAACAAAAACTCACTCTAGGACAATAAAAGACCAAACACGCAAGACTAGCCCGTCCCGAGAGTATAATTACACATTTAGCAAACGTCCTCTTATTGAATATGACCTTGGATGATTTTTTGTTACCTTATGCATCATTCAGTGCAACGCAAATATCAGCCAGTAAAGCCATCTCAATTATTAAAGTGCACAAAAATGGCCAGTGCTGACATCTAGAAACTAGCCATAATCTATATCCACGAGGGCATTGGAGGCTAAGTACGGACAGCCTGGTTATTGATTCCAAAGGAAAAGAAACAGCTTTCCCATGCAGCCCCCGCTTGCTCCAAGCTCTTAGTCAGAGATGTTGTTGCTTTGAGGAATTCTTTCTAACTATCCATTTGCAAACCAAAGTCCCCAGAGAGAAACAACATAGAGAAGGTATGAGTCACATATAGATGGACTTCTTACCATTTGTTATTTGAGCCTCTAACCACAGGTCATCTTCTGTCACTATGTGATTGACAACGTTTTTTCAAATCTTGAACCATCATGATCCTTTTAAAACCAGTTTTATTGGCCAGTTATGTTTACACATACAGGGTTCACTTTGGTCTCTTCAGACATTAAACATTTATTATTAAACCTTTATATATATATTTATAGGCCTACATTAGACAATAGTGCAGTGGTGAGAAGTGCAAAGGATGCTGAAATTGACTGCGGATACTGTCCATTGAAGCAGATCGACATTGTCTCTACAGAGGCATCATTGAGGATGGATTGTGTTGCAGATGAAAGCATTACCGATCATTATTTTACCTGATACAGCCAAACGAGGGCTAAGGTGGACATCCTGAGTCAGTCAGACAGCTGCTGAAACAGAAGATCAGCAGTGCTGTGGATAGGGCCACAAGAAAAACGGTTTTAGTCAACTATATAATTCCCTCTTAAAAATCAATGTGTACACTTTATTTAGGATAATTATACTAACTCACCATGCTGTCACACGGCCCTCTCCCTTCACACTGTTTGTACAATACCAAAGACAATCAATATAGCAAATACAAATGTTTTAAAGAGAGAACTTTGGTGGTTGTTTTGTAAGTCATTTAATGTATTTATTGAGAGCTATATGTACTTATGGTTGTGTCAACATGGCCCATCAATAATTTACAAAGTTTCCTTCAGAAAAATGACCACTGCAAACAGAATCTC